ATTTTCTTGACTAATACCCAGGTTAACTCAGATTGTGATTTTATGCTGAGGTAAATGATAAGAGTCGCTGAAACTTCTGTCTAGGATGTTTATTTATATGGATCAATTTACATCATTCTTATGTTTCCATTCATTGTAATTTAAATCTTAGACTAGTTCTTAAACAATTGTTATTTGTATGAGATTTGTATGTTTAGGCACTTATTGGCCTGAATTTTATACATGCAAGGGGAAAAAAATAGAACGGGTCATGCCCAAATCCTTAAACCTTAACAACATTTTTTTCTTTTTCTCCTACTTCACCAGTTAACTGGCACGTGTCCAAAATGGAAACCATCCCATATACCATGATATTTTGAATTTAATTTAAAAAATCACTTTGCAATGAATATTATAAAAATAAATATATTACTCACAATTTGGGTATTCTTGAATATTTTTAGCTGAAAATTCTCACAAAAACAATGATCTTAAAGTTGGTCAGGTCTGCCACTTAGGGAAATTTTTTTTTTATAGATGCACGTGGCATATGGGGAAGGTCTGTCGTTTGCATCTACAGACGCTTATGGCGTTCAATGAGTTAATTTATATGCACCATCACCTTTGTTCCCAAATAGCAAAAATTTCTCATGCCCTCATATTGATCCTTATTACTCTGATGCATTTTAAGTCAGCTAAAATTTTGGATTTTGCCATTTTATAATAGTCATATGAATATGAACGGAACTTGTATTTCCTGTAACTTAAGAAAAAGACACCTGGAAAGCCAGAGCAGAGTCATAATAATTTATTTTGAGACATTGAGGGAACCTGACTGATTTAGAAATTATTAGAGATGTTTTATGTTCACTATTATTTCAGAGTTAAGAATAGTTTATGTTCTAATTCTTTCAAAAATCGATTTGTAATAAGATATTGAAGTGAAATATAAATTTTCTATGGGTAAGGAAAAAAACACGAACTGAAGTTAATTTAGGAAGGAAAGTTTTATACATATAACTCAAACATAGTATGCTATTTAAACTTAACAAATTAAAAAAGGAATCCCTGAGAAACACTTAAAAGTAACAGAATACAACATCTCTGACTACATTTCAGAATGCCAAGTTAGCAACGGTTTACCTTTCTGTCATTTAATATAGCTATTTTTAAAACTTATATTTAGCAACATTATATATTGTCTCTCATCTAGAATTGATCAAAATCTGAAACTAGGCTAAATTATTTTTAGTGTTAAAAATATCAGACCAGCTTTAGAAATTTGTTGTTTGTGAGGCACAGAGAGCTCCATCTCTAAGTAAAGACAGTGCGTTGTCGGAGACTAAATTTAGCAGTACGAGGCGGGAAACACGGGTGTCTAGAGTTATTTTAGGGCACCAGGAGAGGTGTTGCCAATGAAAAGAGAATCATAGAAGGTTGGTGCCAAGAGAGGTCTTGAAGGTTCTCTATTCATTGTAATATTTTCATTTTTATGAAATTAAAGATAAAGCAAAGGCGTTAGAACACACCACAGACTAGGGCAGTGAAGGATCAGACAGAGGGGAGATCTGGAATTTAAACAGAAAGGGGTTGGAGGTAGAAAAATAAGGAGAAGACACAAAACTCTGTGCTAGCACATGTCCGCTGTTGGTCTGAAACTACTGATCATACCTTCTCTACCATGTTTTTCTTCCCAGAAAATCAGGAAAGTGGTAGTTTGCTTCCTCCATAAAAGCGGCCCCTATGCCAGGAAAGCATCCTGAAGTCGCCCCGAAGTGCCTAGTGCTCTTAGCATCCCCAAATCAACAGATTTCCACTCTGTCTGGCTGAATAGTTGTGACATTACTTTTTGTTGTTGTTATTGTTTGTTTTTTTTGTTAATCCTTACCTGAGGATATTTTCCCAATTGATTTTTTAGTGAGAATGGAAGGAATAGGGGGAGAGAGAGAAAAAACACACACACACACACATCGATATGAGAGAGACACATCAATTGGTTGCCTCCCTCAAGAGCCCCCATCAGGTCAGGGATGGAGCCTGTAACCAAGGTACATGCCCTTGACTAGAATCAAACCTGGGACCCTTTCAGTCCGTGGGTCGATGCTCTAACCACTTAGCCAAACCAGCGAGGGCAGTTGTGACATTACTTTTTGGAGAAGAAGGAAAAAAAAACTTTCCTCTTACTAATTCCTTAATTCAAAATAATTTCATGGCACAAACGGAAACCTCGTGTAAACAGGCTGCCTGTCTCCAAATGCATGGCTGACAACAGATCCTTTTTCGTTTACAGAAAGCAGAAGTGCCAGGGTTTGAAAGGTAGGGGAGAAGGGAGTGAGCCATTTGAGAAAAAAACAAGGTGCAGAAAAATAGTCCAGAACCCCTGAAATAAATTACACTATTGCATACTTTTGACACTGTTTATCTTGAACCCTATGCAAACAAATGGAAGTTTATGCAGAATTTTTCTCATGGGCAGTCATGCGGGCTTGGCTATTTCCATAAACATTCCTTTGAATAGAATAAAATCCACCAGTTGATGAAAAAATTATTCATTTTGATTTTGATTGTCCATTCACAGGTCACATTTTCATAAAAATAACTTTGTCCTCAGAAGATATGTGGACAGAGATAGGATGGCATCCAGAAAACTTTTAAGGAAGCCTCTGGTGCTGTGAGAGCCAAATAGTCTTAATGTTTTAGCACCAATAAGTGCTAAGATCTCCGTTAGGAATCGGAAGCATGTGACCCAGAGCAATGCTACAGAGGTGAAATTAGCGAAGTTCCCAGGGGGCCTCAGTGTCTGGTGGGAGACAGAAGGTAGCCTGCCTTTCAGTTCTTGTAGGACAGGGTTTGCTGGAGTGCCCGCCAGCGTGCTGGCCCCCCTTTGTGGATAGTATGCATGATTTAAAAGAAGCTTTGTCAGCACTGATTTATACTTTGACAGCTCAGGATATTAAGATATGGGCAAACATACCGCTCACCCTTTTACAGATTAACCTGGAGACTGCATTAGGCAAATTTGAGAGCATTAAAAGATTTTGCCAATTTGTCTGGAAACAATTTCTCTTTCGTAGTGTGTCAAGGGTAACACTCCATGCCATTGTCCTCTTTTAAATGGCTTTGATAAATCGTCTGGAAGGTTAGAGAATAGTCGTGTAGATATATATTTAGCACTTTAAAATAAAAAAAGGTTATTCGCTTAATCGTTAAATGAATTTAATCTGTAAAAATCAAGAGCACTCGAAAATGTGTTTCCTTGGAACCGCAGCCGCCGTATTATATCAAAGGTCTTTAAAATCTTCGTGAAAATAAAATCATACTTCTGCATTACTTCCCAATAAGTAGAATGCTTTGGGCTATTACAGCAGCATGAATGGTAGCTATTATTTGGGGAAAGCCTTCGTTGACAAAAGCAGTAAAATTGCATCTTCTCCAGAGTTTGCCTGTTTTTTAATATGGCATGTCCTAGATTGTACCATTTGCATGACATCAAGAGAGCCTCCTGTATGATTGTGTCCCCTGGAGACCCTCGTGAAATGAGATGTATATTTCATGAGACATTGTGGAGGTACATAATTTCTAAAGTAAGGAATTCAAAGAGGCCCCTCTGGATTCACTCCTTGCACTTTTTTTCCAGTAGTTTTATGAGAAAAACGGCGATTCTGTGGGAATGTTTAAACAGTGGTTGTAAGAACAGACCTCGGATATGAATTAGCCCTTTGGGTGAATTCTGAGCTGGAAACAAGGATGAGATGCAGTCATCCTCTGATCACAGTCTTGCCCCTGCACAGCTTCACGTGGAGCTGACAACCCTTCTGATTATTGCATCAAACATCCCGCTTCTATCCCAAGTGAAGCATTGAAATACTTTTTCTTCACTGGAATAATAATATCGCTAAGCACCAAGCTACTAGATTTAAACACTGCTTATTAGGGAAAAAAAAATGATAGGACAGGTAGGATTTACTACTTAACCATTCATTTTAACAAAGTAAATTCCTTTGTGTAAAGAAGTTTTAATTCCAAAAACAAGTGACAGGAAAAAGCAGACTTAACCAAGTTTGGAGCAGCCTATTCTTTTTCTCCAAACTTTGAACTTTAACAAACTGCAAAAAAAGATTCATTTGTTTCAATTTTGTGTTATTTACGAGGAACAGATACAGCCTTTTAACTTTTTACCTTAGATATAGGTAGCGTTTTCACGCTGCTGCTGCAGTATATGTTTTGTAGGGGTTTGGGCTGAAATTAGCATCTTTGAGAAAAACAAAAATGATTATTGATTTCCTAATATTTTAAACACTTATTTCCTGGAGAGTGGTATCACTCAGGAAGTTCCCTCACTGAAAAGGATGCCGCCTTTACAGGGCAGGGAATTCGTATATAATGATAAACAATGCAAATTATGAGCATAGTGACGCTTAAAATAGAACAACTGCTGGCTTGCTACGTGGATTCCTGGTTGGGACTGCGGGAAGATCTATGGTACCTCATTTCTCTTTCTTGATTTGGAGTTCTCGAAGGAAAACTGCTTTTAAAAAGGAGAAAATCTAAAAGTAGTCTCGCTCTTTCTTGCCAAGGATAGTGAAATTAACATGCAGCTGGGCTTCTCTGATAAATGGATTCTGTTAGGTCACTGAGGGGGTGCATGTGACATTAAGTGATTTACAGTCCTTTACCTTAATGAAATTGTTTCAGCAAGATGACGCTGAAAGCTCTTAATGGATAGCTTTTCTTGATGTAATGAAATTGCATTCCTATGGCATTTAATATAAGGTGCAGTTATTATTTACAGGAGCTCTCCAAGGGCTGCTATTTGCACAGACAGTTCAGAACAAAAAGAGATTTCAGTGGCGGGCGGCATGGAGGCCAGAATGGCTCCTGACATTCTTCAGCCGATGAGTGTATTTGGGGGAGCATTTCAGTTCCCGCAGACAGGGCTTCTTAGTCCCTTCAAGAGACTTCCTTTCCCTCACCCTGCAAGTCTTCAGCCTTTTCCACATATCCTCTCATCCGTTTAACAGGCAACTGGATTACAACCAGATCAGCTGTATCGAAGATGGGGCATTCAGGGCTCTCCGGGACCTGGAAGTGCTGTGAGTACCTCTGATTTCTCTGACTCCTCACGAGAGCTTTGTGTCCGGGGGGGATGCTAATGTGGAAGCTTATCTGTTAGCTTAAAACCCAGGGTCAAAATGGTCTAGTAAAGAGATGCCTTAATAACTCATGGTGAAAACAGGGAAGAGTCCAAACGGGTGTGTGCAAAACCTTGTGCATAGCTATATGTTAAGGTAACATGGTCTATGTAAGAGAGACACGCAAATGTTCACACATAATGTCCTTGACGTGTCTCTTCTTATGATAAACTATTTTGATTCACGGGATTTGTGGGAATTTCCAGGATTGCTAAGTCATAAGATAACATCAGTTGTATAGGAAAAATCACAACAAAAAATAAACCTCTGTGTAGCTGATATGTGGGTATAGGTTGTAGTTGCTATGCAATGGAAAGATATTGTCTCACTGTAAAATGTCCTTTTTGACCAGATAACTTGACATCGTTTTTGCAAGGTTCTTTTGAAATTGACATTCTAATTTTAATGAGCGGCCCAATAGGTCCATTCAAGTCTTCACTACTGACTTAGTAAAGCACAACTCACAGATCTGAACTATCTGGGCAGACACGACTGACAGAATTGGTTAGAAGCAACTGAATAATCTCTACAGATCCTCGACTTAGTAACCTAATTTAAATTAAATGATTAATTATAATAAAAATAATTTTAATGAAAACTAGAGTTCCTAAAGCAAGGGAAGCCACCTGTCCATTTATGAAATTTTTTTTCCAGTCAGAGTGTCAGCTTTTTACAGCTTTTGAAATATACGTATACATTTCTCCCCCATATAAACTGTTTTTCTATGCTCTCATTTATCCCTGACTCAATGTATGCAGAAATCCAAAATTGAATTAAATGTGAAGAAGTTTTGAATTTTTAGCCCAGCTGGTTAAAGTTATCTAGGAATCACAAAAGCCTCCTGAAAAAAAGGATTCCATTGCTTTATAAATTAAGTTTGAGGAACAGGATGTAATTCTGAAAAAAAAATGTAATGTTTCAATCAGAATGACTTATTTTAGCAATATTTTCTATATGATTTTGATTTTAATTGTGAATAATTGAATAATAGAGTTTTTAGCTGCGTCATGTGATGTTATTGCTAATTATTTTTAAAGGCTTATGTAAGAATAAGTTCATTGAGGTAAACTATTATAAGAATATATACTGTTCTCTGACCACAGGAGAAGTCATCTTGGTTTTGATTGATAACAGCCTAACTTTTAACTTTTTCTATAGGAAAAATACTCCAAGTGCAAACCATACACAGTGTAGTTATGAGGCCACCTTTTAAGTTGTGTTCCAGAGCCAGTTTTAATACACGAAGCTCACTGATGCTAATTCAGAGTCAGAATAATTAGGATACAGCTATGGTTTCGTGATACTCATCTGATGTCAGGACTGTAGCCAATGCCAGTAAACTTTGTATGTGAAGAGATTGCCACAGAAGTTATTTAATTCAGTGGAGCCTGATAAAGCCAAACAAATTGACACTAAATCAGTGCTCCTAACTAGGAAGATGAATGATAGCAATCATTTTGTGGAAATTTTGCTGAGTGTTTTGGACAAATTGAAAATTCCTAATGTACTTTGTTATTAAGAGTTTAAATATTTACTAGATGTGGAATAATTTATATATAACATATTGAGTATATGTTGAGTACTCTATAGTGACAGAAAGAATATAAATACTATGTATACTTTGAAATATTTACATATTTACATGGACAGAGAGAGAATATGTGAGAAAGCAAATCTGCCATGTGCCAAGCACTGTGTTTGGCAGTAAAATCCCGCTACCAGTTAATACAGTGACTATTAATTTGCTTATTTGTTGTAAATTAATATAATTGCTTTCGGAAACAGTAAATTCATGAAAACACAATCACCTCATTCATTGTGTGCTGTGTGAGCAAACTATCTAAAAAGTGGCTTTAAAAAGACCTCCTATCATGACCACATCAGAGAGTAATAAACATTTTATGGTTCATGGAATTAAAATCGAAATCTAACATTTAAAGCTCTTTTGGGGACCTAATATGTATGTCTCAAAAAGATACAGATTGGTCTGAGTTTGTTTGCTAAAAAAAATAAAATAAAATAAATACATAAAATCGGCACAGAAAGTATGCATTTCTTTCAAAAGGATTTAAACATTTATATTGAAAATTTATAAAGTCAAGCACACATTCTTTTATCATATATGTTAACTTTAAAATTTTTATAATTCATATAACCTTTAGAGAAATTAGTTGATGAATTAAAGGAAAAATTGGATGAAGTACTGAAACCACTGGAATTCATCAAGCCCGAATACCTTGCTAGGTAAAAGAAGTTCGCCTATTATAAACATTTCCTCAGGAGCTTTTTTATGGAGTTCACTTCTAAAGGGTTGCAGAAAGTTTGTTCTCTGTTTCGCGCATTTTTACCAATCATAGCTCTTTAGATGAGACCATCTCACTGTGTGGGAATAATGAAAGGACGCTAATTTGCACATACATCAATTCAGGCTCCCAATGGTTTAGATTTTTTAAAATTTTAATTCAATGAACCATTTACGAATGTTCGAATATACTGAGGCCAAACAAGAGGAGTGGTGATCCAGGGCCATTGATGAAAATGTGTCAGGTTAGGTAGAGAGAGTGAATAAAGCTCAAGAAGGGGAAGTTTAGGCAGATGAAAGCAAGTAGGCCGTTTATCACCTGTATGTTCATGGCCTTACTGTGGAATTCTGGTTGGTAAAATATAGAACTTTTTTTTCCTAAATATGAAGATACTATCCCAAAAATAACTTTGAAAATTAAATCTAGATCAATGTTTACTTTTTCTTTGGAGGCTAGACTAGAAATGAAATATATCCCTTGAGTTGCTAATTTTAGGTGTGTTTTTTTTTCTATAGAATGCACATAATTTAACTTAATTGAAACACGGTGATTCATATCCAGTAAATATCAAACTCTCTGCCAAATCCTATGCCTGGCACTAAGAAAATAGAAAAAATAAGTCCAGGTGTAAGTCCAAAGGGGCCTACATAATTAGCAAGAATAACATTTTGTATTTCAACACCAAGATGTCCTTTGTACAAGAATACATTCTCATTACAAAGAGAGAATTTTGAAGTTGAACACAGAAATGGACTTTTGCATGACCATAGCATAAACATATCATCAGACCTAATTAATATGTATTTATTATTAACCTTTAAATACAGTTTCTTTGGTTCCACGTATTGCTCCATTACCAGGTACCAGTATCAAAATTGCTTTGCCGACATAGATACTGAATAAAGATGCTAAGATAATTTATTTCTTCAGTTGCACTATGCAAACTAACATTTTGAGAGAAGACTTCAAATTGATAGCCACCAGCATCAGCACTAAGTGAAATTCTGTTTTCTGTGGCATCATAAGAAATTATAGTTTCAAATTAATGTGTGTCTGCTGCATTGAATTACTTTAAAAAATATCTTATCCCCCAAGTCACATTTTAGTATGGTGTGTACTCTGGAGATTTTCGCTATAGAAAGTCAGCAGCAATTTTTAGGGCGGAAAAAGGGGTCATTGGAAAGCAAATCCCTTTGAGAAGTGAAACCTTTTAGTGCAAACATCAGGATATATTTAAATGGCGTTTGAAAAGAAATCTCATTTCACTTGAGTACATGGAAAATGCTACAGGCTTTTAGATAGCATGAACCAACCAATTCAATGCTTTATAGGTCCTGCATAAAGTGGGCTGTTTTGTTTTTTTTTTTTACCCCCCTATGTGACTTAATTCAAATCACTTGGATTAGTTCTTACATCATTCAATACATTGCAAAACTGGAGAGCAAAGAGGGTCAGTGCATGTTCCAGACATGTAACTGCTGTGCCCTACTTTGCTGAGAAGTTTAAGTTAATCCCTCAACCCCCGAGCACCCCGCATGGCACCTTTAACAACTGTAGCCGCCAGCTGGCCTAACGTCGCCTCACAAATGTACCTTGTTTCACCCAAGCAGACTTGGCTCATGGACTTTTTGAAATATTTGAGTTGGTTGCCGGTATTTAAAATTAAAAATTAGGAGGATTGATCTAAAAATTTTGAACTCGAGCTTCTTGAGAAAATCACATTCTTCAGCAGCCTTCCAGTACCACAGAGCAGTAGTCCGTGGGAGCTGAATACTAACTCTACAACAAAGAAGAGCATCGCTAGTTTTCCAGGGCCCTCCTGGTTCCCAGCTGTGCACTGCTCTCCTTCTCTCTCCCTCATCATATTTTCGCATATCCAGCCTGCTTCTCTCATGTTTGTTCCCTGCCTGGCCTAGGTAGGCAAATGAATTTGCAACCTCTAATTACAACCCCTCTCCAATATCAAAGGTATCCACCTGGGCTATTGATCCCATCTTTCTCGCCTCCTTCAGCAGCTTGTCCTGTTTAGTCAACACTGTACTATATGCTAGAATCATGTTCCGTCTCCACACTGTCCTCACACACTCCTGGAATAGCTGTCTTCACATTTTGTTGTCACAACCAGACTTCTCCGAAGAGAAAGAGGGAGAGAAAAGCAAATTCTTTTCTTCATCTTATTAATTCTAAGTTTTTGTAACTTGAGTAATTCATCTCACCAGTTGGCCTATTTGCTATTTTCAGACAGGTTTTATGCCTGCCTGTTTTATTTTTATGATATTCCATATTGCCATAAAAATAAGAACCATTCAGGAAATATTGGATGAATAAGTGAGAAGTAGCAGTAGAAATAATAATAACAAACTAACAATGCTTGTTAGGGGGAAATAGGAAAAATTTGAACCAAGAAAGAATTATGCTTATTTTCACCATATCTCCCATGACCACCCATCTTACGTAGTCTAGTTTCAGGAAACCATGATCATCACCACGTAGCCCTAAAATAAAAGGACGGTATCTGGCTGCAGCTAAAAACTGTTAGAATATATTAAGCTTTTAATATACTGATGCAGAATGTCACTTCATCCCCACCCAGAGCAAGTAGCACATATAGATATCATTCTTATTACTCAGATTTCAACAGTGGCTGATGTCTACAGGAAATAATAATCAGCAGGACTGTGTTTCAGGACCTGACAGAAGCGACTCCATGACACTGCTGTGAGATTTCAGTTGGAGCTTTCAAATATGTTCATTTACTCACGGGCACTAATACACATAACACCTCTCTAAGGAAATGTGACTACTTAATGTTTCCAATTGTGACTGTCTCAGGCTTGTTTGTCATAAACAGACATACATGCAGGTACAGGTGCATCAAGCAACATAGAAACAGTAAAGATACTGTGGCTGATGCCATACATTTGTAATAAATATTTGGTAAAACTGAATACACAGTGATATGTTAAAATATACAACTTATTTGTCATCTTGTTTATAATATAGTACATTCTCTATGCCATCTCAACCCAGTAGTTGTTTTATATAAACATAATCACTACAAGTTTTCTTTACATTCATATATAGAATGATTAGTACATTTCATATCTGAAGTCTTTAATTATTTTCTTTTATTCTACAGCACTCTCAACAATAACAACATTACCAGACTTTCTGTGGCGAGTTTCAACCACATGCCTAAGCTTAGGACTTTGTAAGTAGTCGCAACATATATAAAGGTCAATCTAATCAATTAGGGATGCCCCCTGAATACTATTTTTAGTAAGCAAAGAACAAGTAGTTCATTATGGTGTAGACAAGGAAAACACCAGTTTTATTAAAGTTCTAGATATGATATTTGAGCAAATTATTCTGAAAACTTGAAAGCTTTCCTTTAAATGATATGTGTTCTGGGAAGTTTACTTTGAGTTATTGTGGAGGTCACATTTCATTAAGAAATGGAAGACTCCTTGATTGGCTGTCAGAAATGATAAATGATAAATCTTTATGTTTTTATTACTGTATGTCAAGCAGACCTAATAAAGCTAAACTAGCTCGCCAACATTCTTTGCAACATAAAATTACAGCATCACCTTCTAGTGTTTCTGTAATTAAGGTTATGTCAGCATTTCTATTTAAAAATATCTTTTCAGGGGTTACAGATGGACATTAAAATATTTTAGGTGAATAAAAAGGTTCTCTAATAAAGTATTTGCTACAGCTATGTGTGTTTTTTTCTCTTGGAGAAAAATTAATCCTTAAAGCCCAGGGTAGGGATATTTACTCAAAGCATTTTCAGAGATGAATCTCATTTGAACTCAGTTTCAGAATCACCTTGACCTCAAAGAGCTATATTATATACAATATGTGAGAAATAGCCAGAAACATAACCAAAGCATTGGACTTTTGGGTAAAGTATGTGTTCTTAAGTATGTTTTGGAAAAGCCAATATTTTTATTGGCTTTTCAAAATATGTTTTTTTTTATAACAGCTGGTAACTGGAAACATTATATTTATTTTCTTTTTTAATAAAAAATCAATTGAGTTGACAGATTTTTAATAATTAGGCAATATCAATCTTAATTTAATTTTTTTCTCACTAAAGTGTATCTCTGTATACAATGTTCCATCTTTATAATTTTCTTGGAATATGAATTAGCAAAATAAAAGAATTCTGAAAATACGCACATAGAACTAGATTTCGTTTCCTCGGGGCTATCAGATTGAGACTAATCTGTCCAAATTAATAGCCCAGTTCACTCCAACTATATTTAATGAAATTGGTTTCTTATTAAATTTAATTTTAAAAAAACAATTTGATCGAGCTTTTCTTCTTTGCAAAATAAAGCCACTTGGACCGTAAACTCATCCATCATCTGCATTTTTGATAATGTGCCTCATTTTCTTGTAGAGACCCACCACAGTCCATCTTACTAATCTGGCTTTTCCATTTTTATCTTCCTTTCTTATATCACGTGTGCCCATGTAACTGAACCATTGTACTGGGTGTGGTTCCGATGGAAATGCTTCGAGAACGATGATGTAGGATGTGCCACTGGCTTCCAAAGCACGCCACTCTGACTTCCACGCAGATTGAGCCGAAGTTGCCCACCTTTCCCACAATGTAGCTTTTTGCTCTGCGGTCTGCTGTCTAGTTTTCATACAAGGCTCTTCCGTATCTACAAGCTCAAGGAGAATGTAAAAGAGCCATCTAACTTTCAGTTCCCTTGCTTTGCTTGTTTCATTATTCTATATTATCATTGCTACTTAAAAATTCCATTTTTATGGTCCAATTATCTTTCTGGACTGAGTTCCGTTTTAATATCCATTACTGTTATTGGGTTAGAATTGAGCACATCAGCTAAAAAGGGCTAAAATGGTATTACTGTGTCATAGATGATTCTGGGAACGATGCTTTGATTTATAGCTTTGGATGTCCTTTTCTTTAGTTTGAGAAAACATAAAAGCCAGTTTGAAGTCATTTACCTAATTTAGTGGATACATTTGTCTGATGTTTTATTAATGGTGAAGTGCTATTTGCCACTTGGAAGGGATCCACGATCGGGTGTGGATTCCTGCCAGCACAGAGGGGGCTCACTTAATTCCTTCACTCCCAGCCACTTATGTCTTTTAATTCCAGTTTCTACTCTTAGAGGGCAGGTCCCCAAGAGCCAAATGCTGCTGATCCCTTTTTCTGATATTGTACAAAAAGAAGGAAATCATAATAGGGCCTGAAAGAAATGTTTTCTATTTTAATCCATACCCACGGATGTTTATCAATTTTAGAGAGAGGAAGGGAGGGAAGGAATGAGAGAGAGAGACAGACAGACAGACATCGATATGAAAGAGAAAAGAGAAACGTCCATCAGGTGCCTCCCATATGCACCCTGACCAGGATCAAATCTGCCACCTTTCCATGTAGGGAACGATGCTCCAAGCAACTGAACCACCTGCCCAGGGTGGAAGAAGTGTTTTATGTTGAGTTATTATTCTTTCTTATCGAGCAAAAAATGAAAGTGACCTCCTAAAAAAGATTTTGCAAGCAGTTCCTGCAGAGACTAACTAATAATTCAAACTGGGAGCCACGAGTTTTATTAACGTGCCTCCTAGCCCTACCCGCCTCTTTACCCGCCCGTCCCCCAGCACCAATCGGCTATCAGTATGGCGGCACTGCAGAGTGATTTGCCTTGGATTTGTCTCTCTGCACCGTTTTGAATGAACCTAGGCAAAACATTCTCACGGTCATGTTCCAGTTTCCGCATATTTACTTAGATCGCAGGTGAAAGAAGAGAGACTCGATGCTGTGGTTGTGAACCAGCTACATTTTTAGACAAGTAATATGATTGCAAGTTGCTAAGCTTTATCTAATTCTATGTTAAGAAACAGAGCTATATATTATTACTAAAGATTTTTCCAAGTTTTGAAATAACTATTTCTGTTTTGTTTTGTGTGTGTGTGTGTGTGTGTGTGTTTGTTTTTTTGCTTTAAACCTCTTGCCCGCCATTTAGTCGACTGCACTCCAACAACCTGTACTGTGACTGCCACCTGGCCTGGCTGTCGGACTGGCTGCGGCAGAGGCCTCGCGTGGGCCTCTACACTCAGTGCATGGGCCCCTCCCACCTGAGGGGCCATAATGTCGCTGAGGTTCAGAAGCGAGAATTTGTCTGCAGTGGTAAGGGAGAAAGTGCCTTGGTGTGGTCTTATTGTATGCTGTCTTCAAGGACACTGTGAAAAATGCATGCTCTCAGGGTTTCGTGTTGCTCACTAATGTGTGCAATTGTGTGCTAATCACTCTATGGAAATCCTCTGTTTTAGTGGTGATAATAATATGCTCTAAGACATCAGTGCAGGCTTTATAATTACTGATTACTTGTACCTAAGGAATGATGAAAGACTTTTTCAGCTTTCACTCCAGGGGAAATATAGGAAATCCCTAGATTTTAGTACTCTTTGCTGCTCGTTATTTTCCCTTTAAGTAATCATTTATATCTACTTTTATGCTTAACAATTGGAAATATGATTAATTAACCCTGGATCTCTGCTGGGAAATTCAAAAAAAATAACTATAGTTGCAAAGTGACAAAGTACTTTCTGTGTATACATATATAGTAGGGGTTGAAGTCTACTTAAAAGACGTAAATGACTAGCTTTAGTAACAAAAATCTGAAAACAAAAATAAGACATGGGTGATATAAAATATCAGTAGATGACATTTACTTAGTTCTTTCCCTCTGCTTAAACACCAATCCAAGTATTTCACATATAGTCACTTCATTTTACCTCCCTCATAACAGTTTTAGGGAAATGTAATATCTATATTAGAGGTTAAATTACTGAGAAAAATATACTAAGTAACCTTGTTCACGGTTATATAGTTTAAACCAAGGATCTCAGCCTAGGCAGTCTGATACCCAATCCATGGATAGATAGATAGGTAGATAGATATTTATATATATTTATAAAATTATATGTTAATACAGGGTGGGGCAAAAGTAGGTTTACAGTTGTGAGTATGCAAAACACAGAGTTTATTCTTGTATTAGTATTTATTAATTATTGTATTATTTTCCATACAAAAACTGTAAACTTATTTTTGCCCCAATTTATATTTTATTGATCCATATTAACATATAATTTCCTTTATAAATACAGGGCTGATTCTCCTTTAGAACTGACTGTTCAACAAACAATGAGGCATAAATGGTTACCAGTTTCTTAAAGGAATGAGAAGAGGTGCCAATATAGGATTCTAAGTTATTGTTACCTTTTAGTCCTCTTTATGTACTTTCCCACACTTTTTATAACCCACACAAAATTTCCTTGTGATGTCATGAAATGTTCTCAATAGGCCTAGTTGAATTTTTTTTAAAAAATTAGATAATGAAATGACTCACAATTTGTCACTAACCACTTTTTCTCTCTTCACTTCCCTCCCCCCACCCCCTCGTTTTCTAGATGAGGAAGAAGGCAAGTTCACGTTTCTTTTTTAGACTGAGAGTGTGTTTGTGGAGTCTGAGAGGTGTTGGGAGGGACAGGGTTAGCAAGAGCCTGCTGCCACTGCCTGGCATGTCCCCGCCACGCGGGTGCTCTCCCTGCAGGCCTGAGAGGGTTGTCCCTGCTGCAGGGCCAGTGTGTGCACCTGCACATTTGCTGAAATACTGCTGACACTGTTGTGCATCCTTCAAAAAGTAAAATCTCATTTCAAAATAATTTTGTTTTCAAATAATGAGTAGTTAAATTATATACCTGCGGGAAACTCCTTTGCCAATATTTTAGGCCACAGGAAGCCAAAAAATAAAGCATGTCAATTAACAATGTCAGAGTGACATGTTACAAATCATTATAATAGCTCCAAAGAAAATGGTCATTTTGAACCTATTCAGACATTAAACTAAGTATGATCTAGTTTCCCCCCACATTTATGGTCACGTGATTTCTTATTTAAAATCAACAACTATGTCTACCAGGAGGGACATTTTTATTTTTGAGGTAAAGTAAGTTAAGCTGTATAAGTTTAGTAAAGACCAAGCTCTATTTAAGCTTATTAGAAAATGAAGTATAGACTAGTCTGAAGTTGCTGTATTTTTGGAACACAGAATAGTTTTGAATAGAATTTTACTTTTGGAATCTGAATTTAGACTTTCTCACCATGATTTCAAGCCTTACACTTATAATTGGTACTAGAGGCCCAGTGCACAAAATTCGTGCACTCGGGGGAGATCCCTCAGCCTGGCCTGCCCTCTCACAGTCGGGGAGCCCTTGGAGGATGTCTGACTGATGGCTTAGGCCTGCTCTCTGTGGGGGAGTGGGCCTAAGCCATCAGTTAGACATCCTTAGCGCTGCCACCAAGGCAGGAAAGTCTCCCACCACCGCCACTGTGGTCGCCAGCCATGAGCCCGGGTTCTGGCTGAGCGGCGCTTGGGAGCGCACTGACCACCAGGGGACAGCTCCTTCATTGAGCGTCTGCCCCCTGGTGGTCAGTGCACATCATAGCGACCAGTCGTTCCACCGTTTGGTCAATTTGCATATTAGTCTTTTATTATATACGATAATTCCTTTTAAAAATCTCATTTGCTTCATCTGGATATTGACCCCAGAATTATATAAATGCATGCTTCCTAAAGTATATTTTGGAAACAAAAGACCATTTTATAATCAGGTATATAGAGAAATGTTTTTGACATGCTTTGTTTGTTATTTGAGATAAGCTTGCATGTCTCCCAATTATGACTTTCAGGAGGAAGAATATACTTGCTGTTTATGTTTGTTTTGTTTGTTTGTTTTAGGTCACCAGTCATTTATGGCTCCTTCTTGCAGCATCCTGCACTGTCCAGCCGCTTGCACCTGTAGCAACAATATCGTAGACTGCCGTGGGAAAGGTCTCGCGGAGATCCCCACAAATCTGCCTGAGACCATCACAGAAATGTATGTGTCCTGAAACCCCCTGGCACCCCTCCTCCTCCCCAGGGATCCAGACCCTGACTTTCCTTAGGAGAGTCTGGGTTTATCAAAGGCAGATCTGATCAATTAGCTTAGACAAATGTTCCTTTCAGAATGGTATTGACCCTCACTCTGTTTAATTAAGTATCTTGTCGAAGTGGCTAAGATTTGTCTTTTTTAAGCACAGGGAGAAGGAAAAGGAATGCATTTTAAGGAGAAATAGTACGTTTCCTTCCCTTGAGAAGGGGTTATTGGGCTATTTAGGGACAATAAGCAGGGCTTTACTAGTCTGACTGTGTGGGTCTTCCCCAGTTCGTTTCAAGCCCGGAGCGGAGGGAAATAAGGCAGCTGGGGTAATAAATCATAGAACCAGGATGGCTAGACGGTGTTTGGTCTCCTCAAGAGCTCACATTTTAAAAGCAGTTTAGCTGTTGTGTGTGAACTATTGTATAATCTGCCACAAAGTATAAAAAAAGGTAATAATATAAGTCAAAAATATAAGATACTTAAATTCGCGAGCATTTGAGCCTACTTGGGTTGATGTTAAAGCCATCAGAAGTTAAATCCCCTTGACAAAGTGGTTCATACCTGTCTGTACGCAGCTACAGCGAGCATTTGTCCCTGCCAAACCAAGGTCATGTGCAGGAAACAAGGCCATGTGTGATGTCAGAGGGACCCCTTTAACCAGCTCGAGCATTAAACATTAGGGAAAATCTTTACCTCGGTATTCACTCACTGAGAAAGCACCTCTTATCCACCTAGGTGCCATATTATTGTTTTAGAAGCCAGTTCTAAATTTTAACTAAACAAATAGCACTGGGCATTTTTGGATGAAATAATAATGTAGGACCACTTCTTGTGATAAATCTACATTGTAGGCAGAAAAAGATGAAGTTATTTTCAAAAACTATTCATTTATTATTTCATTTTTATTTTTTAATAATTTATTGGGGTGACATTAATTAATAATGTTATATAAATCTTAGGTGGACAACTTTATAATAAAACATCTATATTCTCTATCATGTGTTCACCACCAGAAGTCTAGACTCCTTTCCTTTTTTTTTTTTGGCCAATTCACTGCTCTAATTTATTTATGTGAGAATAACCTTAGTTCCCAAGACCCATTGTCACTATTTTAAAGTATCTAGTGTGTGCTTAAACATGTGCTTACAGCTTTGCTGTCTTAGACAGGGTCCTCTGAGGAACTCTAGAATTTATGGCCATTTGACCCAGACATGGATAATGAAGGCACATAGTATTCCTATCCTATTTCTGATTGATGGGACACTGCCTTGCATAGAAGACACGTGCTTAGTATTTTTTTAGCTGAATCTGGGAAGGAGAAAAATATATAGTTTTAGAAGAGGTGGGTGACATCACACAAAGGAGAAACAGCAGGAGCCTAGGGCAGCGGTGGCAGCGAGTTATGTTTTAGAGATTGTACCTTTGAGGCGAACGGGAGTACGAAGTGCATGCCAAGGCACAATAGAAAATAAACCCAAAAAAGGATATCTCTCTGTATACTTTCCAAGCCACGGGTACTGAAGGACTTTCATCTTAGAAGATGTAGTATATGATGAAGTAGATAGTAGTTTTAGAATAGGGAATAGTACACATATATTCATCTATCCAGGCATGAGCATTTATTTATTTGCTTATGTGTTTATATATTTACTAGAGGACTGGTGCACAAAAATTTGTGCACTTGGGAGGGGTCCCTCAGCCCAGCCTGTGCCCTCTCGCAGTCTGGGACCACTCTGGGGATGACCACTTGCTGGCTTAGGCCCACTCCCCAGGGGATTGGGCCTAAGCTGGCAGTCAGACATCCCTCTGGCAGTCCGGGAGCCCTCGGGGGATGCCCACTTGCCAGCAGGGAGCAGGCCTAAGCTGCAGTTGGACATCCTTAGCACTGCTGAGGAGGCTGGAGAGGCTCCCACCACCACCGCTGTACTGGCAGCCATCAGCCTGGCTTGTGGCTGAGCAGAGCTCCCCCTGTGGGAGCGCACTGACCACCAGGGGGCAGCTCCTGCATTGAGCGTCTGCCCCCTGGTAGTCAGTGTGTGTCATAGTGACCAGTCATTCCCAGTCTTTCTGCTGTTAGCATCAATTTGCATATTACCCTTTTATTATATAGGATAGAGGCCTGATGCATGGGTGGGGGCTGGCTGGTTTGCCCTGAAGGGTGTCCCAGATCAGGGTGGTGGTCCCGCTGGGGTGCCTGTCCATCCTGGGTGAGGGGCTGATGGCCGTTTGAAGGCTGGCCATGGCCCCCAGCCACCCAAGCTCCCAGTGGAGGCTGGCTGGAAGCAGGTATCTGGGATTTATTTAGCTTCTATAATTGAAACTGTGTTGCTTTGAGTGGAGGCCATAGCCAGCCAGGGCAGGCAGGAAGCTTGGCTTCCTCCATCGCCGGGGCAACCAAGCCTCCTGCTTGCTCCAGCTCCATGGCTGCCAGCCACCATCTTGGTTGGGTTAATTTGCATATAGTTGCTCTGATTGGCTGGTGGGCATGGCTTGGGACATAGCAGAGGTGCGGTCAATTTGCATGTTTCTCTTTTATTATATTAGATTTGATTTCAGAGAGGAGGAGAGGGAGAGAGAGATAGAAACATCAATGATGAGAGAGAATCATTCATCAGCTGTTTCCTGCACTCCTCCTACTCGGGCTGGAGCCAGAAACCTGAGCATGTGCCCTGAATGGGAATTGAACCATGACATCCTGTTCATAGGTCGATGCTCAACCAAAGGCATTGCCGGTCCAGGCCTGAGCATTATTAAATAAACACTATATAAAGACAGCATGAATATCCAGAGGCCTTTCCACAAGAGACCAACACATTTGACATCCAAAATAAAAGCTATGAAATGAGGTACAAAATAGTAACTCTGAGAAAGGAATAAATTAAGTCAAAGGTATTTATTGCAGAGCGGGTAAATTGGGGGTGGCAGTGTGAACCAGAGTTAGAAAGTTTTAGTTAGGACCATGGGTCTACCCACTGTTCACTATCTGTGAGACCGTGGGCAATTACTTCTCATCCACGACACTGTCTCCACATCTGAAGCTGAGGGTTATTGTGTGTTTGAGATGGAGTAATTAATACATGTAGAGCTTTATGCGTTTAGCGTATAGCAGTGGTTCTCAACCTGTGGGTCGCAACCCCTTTGGGGGTCGAATGACCCTTTCACGGGGGTCGCCTAAGACCATCGGAAAACACATATATAATTACATATTGTTTTTGTGATTAATCACTATGCATTAATTATGTTCAATTTGTACCAATGAAATTGGGGGTCACCACAATATGAGGAACTGTATTAAAGGGTCGCGGCATTAGGAAGGTTGAGAACCACTGGTATAGTAATCATTCAATAAATGATGCCTTGATCATTGAAGCCTTTATATAGGAGGTAGCCTGTGAGGTAGGCCTTGAAGAATAGATAGTGAATAGAAATGCAGAGACGAGAAGACTTTCTATCTTAATTGAACATCGTAAGCAAAGGCAATAAGAACGGTAATACAAGACACTACAGAGCTCACTGTGGTATGTGAGACTTGAGAGAGCAGGAAAATAAAGTGAGAAAGCTTGGTTGGAGCCAATTCATGGAGGGCCTTGGATAGTATAAAGATCTTTGTCTTTATTTGGAATGCAGCTGGATACAGGAGTTTTCATCTGAATCTTCAATATTAATGGATCGGACAGCATATGCAGTGGTTGGCAAAAGGAGAGAATACCAGGCCTGGGGCCTCTAGGAGGCTATGATGTTGATCGAAGGGCGATGTCATGAGAGCAGGAGCTAATAAGTAGCTGTCAGAATGATGATGTGGAAGCAGATATGATAGCTAATAGAGAAGTAGACATAAGGGAATTTGAAATTTGATGAGATGAGAGAATAATGGTGAAAAATGAACCAAAGATGATGCCAGAGTGTCAAGTATGAGGACTGGGAGATTGTGGTCATATCGTGTGTAAGAATCTGAGGAACCCAACCAAGACTGGCAAGGAAGAGGGTGATGAGCAAAATTTGTGAAATGCCTAAGTGCCACCGAGAGATTTGGAGGCACTAAAGTCAAACAGGCTGTAAGTAAGGAAAGACTGAAAGTAACACGAGACATTTAAAATGGTTTATTTCATGTAGTCTACTTTTTTTGTATTCTGCATGCTCTATAGATTTTGTATAATGGTGGAATTTAGTAACATAAAAGTTATACAAAATAATATGTCCCATTGGTTTTGCCCATATTGGGGAGGTGGTGTATTCGGTAAAGCTAGAATAAATTAAATTTATAAGTTGAGATGACAATATATGTGAAACTTTAGGTGTATTTTACTTCTCTGGTTATTACATTATCAGCTTTATCAGTAGAGCAGCTGATAATAAATCATATTGATCTTCAACTCCAACAAAGTACCGCCATTACCATCAGTTATATTGGCATAACTTACCAGCTTAGTAACTTACTTCTTTTATTACACTTATTTTTTATTAGAATAAAGGACATTAGTAAGATTCAGAAAATGTGAAAATAAAGATATCCACCTTTTAAATTTTTTTATAGATTTCAGGTTTTTAATATATAAGTAACTGAACATTATAAACACCCATATTTTTCAAGTACCTTTTAAATCTGGATTTTACCATGAAGTGTTAGTAGAATTTCTTTATTGGAGGTTATTATATATTTCACTCGATAATGTTGAGTTGATTTCCTATGTGGTATGTCCTGATTCCTGCAACTGTCTCATAATATAATTCTGACCAAAAGAAAGTATGTATGTGCTCTGTGTTGGAGTAATCAAGTGCCAAAAAAGCCTTGACCATCTTTTTTTTTTCTTTTCTATTTTGTGCTTGCACCTATAATTAAAGTCAGAATTGAAATAACTTGGAGAAGGAAGGATAGAAAGAGACTAACATTTGTCCAGTACCTGCAATGTTGGGTATTATACCCACATTATATCATTTGATCTTCTCATTGACCCTTG